CAGGGAACATACATACACACCACACATACAGCAGGAGCCACGTTTACACACATTGCACACATTTACACACATACAGATGCATGCCAGAAATCACTGCTGCCTCCTCATCCATCCATCATAATGCTTCAAACGAGAGATTGATGAACAGCCATCCACAGCTGCCCAAGCATGCACAGACACACAAGAGCAAACATCACACTCACACACATATTTATCAACATATTCACACTAAAACACCCAACACAGAGAGACAGATCTATCCGTCAACCAATGCATTGTATTATTTTGGAATATAATGGGGATTTTTGAGACCAAAACCCAATTTGTGGTACAATTAATATGTGTAATTGCCTCTTATAATACTATTTATTCTTAAACAATAAAATAAAGGGTTAATTAGGAAATATTCAGATACTTCTGACACTGTTTGTCATCTAAGTTTCAAAAGGTGGCCCACAGTGTAACCTAAAATCACCTTACATGCTCTGCATATTTATTAAAGTAAATACATTTTTGATGTTTTTGATAGAAGTTGCTTCTGCTCACCAAGGGTGCATTAATTTTTTATCAAAAAATACAATAAAAACAGAAATATTGTATTTTGCTACATTTTAAAATGTAAGTCCTGTGATTAAAGCTGAATTTTCAGCATCATTACTCCAGTCTTCAGTGTCACATGATCCTTCAGAAATCATTCTGATATGCTGATTTTCATCCATGTTAAAAACTCTACAATTTTGGTGAAACTGTGATATATTTTTTGCAGGATATAAAGTTAAAAAGAACAACATTTATTTGAAATAAAAATGTTTTGTAACATTATAAATGTCTTTTCTCTAACTTTTGATCAATTTAATGCATGCATAAAAGCATCAATTTCTTTTTAAAAATCATCATACCCAAACTTTTGAAATATTTACTCTTTAAAATACCATTTAAAATGTTTTTCTTTCCCTCCATCATATCACAGTTTTCTTGTTATTTCTGATCAATGCAATGCGTGTGTTTGAAAACAAGATAACATGCTGCTATTTTCAGAAATGATAAACGAAAGAAATGACATTCATGCTGAACATTGGTCAAAATGTCGCAATTCATGGCACAAAGCTGGGCTGTGATTGGTCCAAATGATCGTGAAAACATTCTACAGCTCTGTGGTTGAGGTTTAATAACAGATGCTCGAAGGAGAGGAAAGCAAAATAATTATGAACGCACAAAGGGACGAGAGACAGAGAGGAGGAGATGGAAAAATGAACGAAGAAAACTAAAAAAACAAAAATAGTGATTTGTATATAGAAAGAATCATTGAAGAGGAAGTTAGTGTTATTGATTGTTGCGGAGGATTCAGCCAAAGTACAATCTGAGATTCACATGCACGTGGGTGCCGTCAGATTGAGAGTCCAAACAGCTGATAAAAACATCTCAATAATCCACAAGTAATCCACACCACTCCAGTCCATCAGTTAATGTCTTGTAAAGAGAAAAGCTGTGTTTATAAAAAACAAATCCATCAAGTGCATTCTTGAAAAGTACATACAGTATACTAAGCAGTTTTAATTTGACTAAAGATGCACAACTTTTTTCAACATTGATAATAAATCAGCATATTATAATATGTGACCCTGGACCACAAAACCAGTCTTAAGTCGCTGGGGTATATTTGTAGCAATAGCCAAAAATACATTGTATGGGTCAAAATTATCGATTTTTCTTTTATGCCAAAAATCATTAGGATATTAAGTAAAGATCATATTCCATGAAGATATTTTATAAATTTCCTACCGTAAATATATCAAAACTTAATTTTTGATTAGTAATATGCATTGCTAAGGACTTCATTTGGACAACTTTAAAGACGATTTTTCTCAATATTTAGATTTTTTTTGCACACTCAGATTCTAGATTTTCAAATAGTTGTATCTCGGCCAATCCTAACAATCCTATCCTGTCCTATCCTAACAAGCCATACATCAATGGAAAGCTTATTTATTCA